AATTTTGTCCCTTTAAAATTTTGACCCTAAAATCGTTATTTCCATTAGGCATGTTTTGACCGTATCAAATGATATACCCTCTCTAGCCATATGGCTGAGGGTATAAAAACGTTAATTTTTTATAGGTGACTCTACAAAATGTAGATAGTAATGTTGGGTACCATTAAGTCGGTCCTGTCCGACTTCTGTCTTTCCTTACTGGTTATATATGTAGAAATAAGACCGGGTATCCTTTAAAACGAAACATTTCATCTACATCCAAACAGATTTTCTATGGATTCAAAGATCTTGTCTATATTTACGGAAGACATTTAATTTTTTAAAATTACGGGAAAAGTCCTAAACAAATACCACAAAAACAACAATAATTTTCCGATAATTCCAATGAAATTCTAAAGAATTTGGAATTCCCTCTTTTATGACTTGAGAAATGCTAAAAATGTAATGGAACGTAAATCGAGCTAAAACATCTGCAATTTCAAGTAGATTTTCAAATTCACTATCACTTTTGATGTTGAAAACCCAACATTTCAAGTGGTTTAATGTGTGAATCAAATTTCTACTTCACTTTCTGGGACTCTAAGGGTCATTCTAAAAATAAAATCAACATTTGATGTCATCAAAAAACATAAGTGCTGGTTTCGATGCGGCGTAACAGACCGAAGTTGCCAGACACTGTGTCGCCCAAAAATTGTCCTTTGTCTATCTGGCTGTCCAAGCAGAAAGAACTTGTCTCGCTAGACAAGAGGAATGTCAACAAAAATTATGTTTACCATTTTTCTATTGGGACAAAACGGGACGTGACTCGGTGGCAAACAAACACCGAGCGAACACACACACGCATGAATGATTTTTACGTCTTGCAACGTTTAGGGGTTTCACGCATGCGCAAACATATCAAACATTTAGTTATGGTCTCTTCTAATGACACTGACATACATACATACTCACATTGAACAATTTAATGATCGATCGATTTCCAATGTGTTCTCTAACATTGGAAAATGTTAAGTCAAAACGTGAAGCACTCGCCTCAGGCACAGCGGACTGCCAAACACTTGTGACAAGCCTATCCTCATGGGTATTGTGGCTGCGTTTGGGAAGTTTCACATTTCAATGGTAATTTTTGCGTCATTGGAATATGAAAAGAAATCGTCAAACAAGGTTTCATAACATTTTCTTGGATTTTTTAACGTTTTTCTTGGAAATTTGATGGTTTTTCTTGTTATTCCGGTTTCGGAGGTATTCTCTTAAAATGCCTAGAAATAAGCGTTGAGGTTTTCAACGGATGCGAAGATCTTTTCTTCTTCTTGGAATATGTAAAGTCCTTAAGACTTAAAATATCAAGAACAAGATCGATGTCTTCAATAGCTGATAGAATATCTTGTGGGCTTATATGAAAGATATAGAAGACCCGGTGGTCTTCTCTGGCAAATGGAAGTCTTCTATGGTCTACTATATATTCTCGGACGAATAGAAGACTCGGTGGTCTCCAATGTAGCGCTTATAAAATTGGCAGAACAATTTGTATTGTGTCTAGGATGGTTCATATTGAAAACCAGTAAAGAAAGTCCTAAAGTCGGGCGGGGCCGACTTTATGATACCCTACACCACTTTGCTAATTTAGTAGAGCTCCACGTAACAATTAAAAGTTTTTATGGGAGGATTCAATCATACACCCTATGATTATAATTATAATTTAAAGTTCAAAGGACCAAATATGCCGAAGCATTTGTATCTTTTAAATTCGGACTTGTATTGGCCATTTGGTGCAAAATTAATTTAAAATCAGATAAAGATATATATGGGAGCTATATCCAAATCGGAACCGATCTCGAAAAAATTTTGCAAATATATTTCTGAGCTGTATATGATATATTTCCTGAAATATCGTTGTTACAGAGTGCATATTACGTCTGTGGGTAACAAATACTAGAAATCGGATGAACAATATATATGGGAGCTATAGCTATATCTGAACCGATCTTCACCAAATTTGGCATACTATCTTCTAGACTAAATTCGGTCGTGTGTGCCAAATTCCATCCCATAATATTAGACGTTTGGTGCACAATAAAAGGTAAATCGGACGAAGTTATATATGGGAGCTATATCCAAATCTGAACCGATCTCGATAAAATTTAGCAAAGGTATTTCTGAGCTGTATTTGATATATTTCCCCAAATATTGTTGTTACAGAGTGCATATTATGGCTGCGGAGTACAAAAATAACAAATCGGATGAACAATATATATGGGAGCTATAGCTATATCTGAACCGATTTCGATCAAATTTGGCATACTTATTTTGAGGCCCAATCTGATCGTACGTGCAATATTCCATACTATTCGGACTGATATTACACGTTTGGTGCACAATAAAAGGCAAATCGGACGAAGATATATATGGGAGCTATATCTAAATTTTTACCGATTATCTCCAATTTCAATAGGGTTCGTCCTTGGGCCAAACAAATGTTGTTTGCAAAATTTCATCTCAATCGGATAATAAATGCGACCTGCATTTTGTTCACAAGAATACATGGACAGACGGACGGACGGACAGACGGACTGACATGCATAAATCAACTCAGAAAGTGATTCTATGCAGATCATCAAAAGGAACTATGGGTCTATCTCGTTTCCTTTTGCCTGTTACAAACAAATGCACAAAGACATAATACCCTTACCACTATGTGGTGTAGGGTATAATGAGATATATCGGTCTACGTTTTGAATAGGTTGGCTGTTATCCGGTATTTTGACGATTTTCGCCACTTATTATCTCGGATTTTTTTAAAAATTGGTATTTGTAGTTCAAAATGGATTCTAACTTCGGTGGCGAAACATTGTATATATACGTCCACGTTTTTATAAATCGTTCATATAACTGTACCTCCCGATACCCGGTATTTTGATAACTTTTGTCACATTTTTCCACCGATTTGTCTAAAAATTGGTATTTGTAGTTCATAATGGGTTCTAGCTCCGGTGGGAGAATATTGAATATTTAGATCCACGATTTTTTATAGCGAATATATCCAAAAATCCAGACCTAAAGCTCAAAGAAAAATTTATTCATTGAAAATAAAAATGTTTTCTTTTCCCAAAGGGGGAGGGTTTTAAAAGTTCGGCCCGGTCGAACTTTATTATTTTTTTATTATACCCTCAGCCATATGGCTACAGGGGGTATATATCATTTGATACGGTCAAAACGTGCCTAGTCGAAATAACGGTTTTAGACCCTAGGTCTCTTTGGACCAAATCCGTTTCAGAACATTTGGAGTCGATCTAGCGATGTCCGTCCGTCCGTCCGTCTGTCTGTCTGTCTGGCTGGCTGGCTGGTGCGCACGATAACTCTTGAAGGGAGTATCCGATTTGGTCCAAACTTGATACATCGTAATATTTTTGTCAAACTTAGATCGAGTTCGGAGATGGGCAATATCGGTCCACTCCTTCTGGTACCTCCCCCACAAAAGGTCGAAATTTTCAAAAAATTTATTTTTTGCACAGAAAGAGAAGCGATAAACCGATTTTGCCCCAACTTTGCAAATCTTAATATTTGCGTCAGTGTTAGGTCAAGTGTGAAAATGGACAATATCGGTCCACTCCATCAAGTACCTCCCCCACAAATGGTCAAAATTTTGAATAATTACAACTCTCATAATATGTCCGATTGCCTTCAAATTTCACACATGTCAATATTTATGTTAGCCCAAGGTCTGATGTTAAGATGGAATATATCGGTCCATTCCTTCTGGTACCTCCCCCACAAATGGTCGAAATTTTAATAAATATATATTTTTTGCACAGAAAGAGAAACGATAATCCGATTTAGCTCAAACTTTGCAAGTATTAACATTTGCATTAGTACTAGGTCAGGTGTGAAAATGGGCAATATCGGTCCACTCCTTCTGGTACCTCCCCCACAAAGGGTCGAAATTTTAAATAATTACAACTCTCATAAAATGTGATATAAGAGTTCGATTGTCTTCAAATTTCACACATCTCAATATTTATATTAACCCAAGATCTGGTATTAAGATGGAATATATCGGTCCACTCCTTCTGGTACCTCCCACACAAATGATAAAAGATTTTCAAAAAAATAAAATATATAAAAAAAAATATTTTCTGCACAGAAAGAGTATCGATAATCCGATTTTGTTCCAACTTTGCAAATCCTGATATTTACGTCAGTTCTAGGTCAGGTGTAAAAATGGATAATATAGGCCCACTCCATCAAGTACCTCCCCCACAAAGATCGAAATTTTGAATATTCATCACGCTCTTAAAACACTTGAACACGATTCCATTCCAAAGAATCCGAAATAAACATCCAGTTCTCTTCATATTACACACGTCCCATTATTTTTACTAACTCAAGATCTGATGTGAAGATGGGATATATCGGTCCACTCCTTCTGGTACCTCCCCCACAAAAGGTCAAAATTATGAGTATCCATGAAGCTCATAAAACGCAAAATTATCATCCGATTCTATTCAAACTAGGATGATGTATTTTATCTGTATTAGATGAAGTGTGAAAATGGAATACTTCGGTCCGCTGTATCTGTTACCTGACGCATATTTCCATTTTTCGAAAAGGTGCACATACCTCATATAAAGTACAAGAAGTAGTCGATATAGTCCAAATCTGTCACGTTCGTAACTCAAGGCTGAGGGTATACATCTGTCGGCAAAACCGACTGATACTATTTTACTTGTTTGTTTTAAGACTACGTTTTTCTCTTTAAATTTATAGGTAGGAGTGTTTCTTCTCTTCTCTTTTCCGAACCGTGTCGTGTCTCCACACGATATCAGACCACAAAGGATGGGGAAAGTACTCGTTGTTGTTTAATACAATTTTATTTTAGTTCAAAATTGTTAATTAATATTAGTTTATTTTTGGTTTACAATTGTTGTGGTTCACAAGTCAACAAATCTGCCATCAGATTCAAAACCACAGTTTAATAATAATTGATATAGTCAATGGATCACACATTGAACGGCCAGTAGTACTCTTCGAATACTCAAACGTTTCACATCTTCGATGAAATATGAAGATTCTTCTCCCGGCCGCATTACTGATGACGATATTTGGTTGGCAACTTGTTGTTGTGGCATCAAACGATGTCTGTCATACCGATGAAACGTCGTGCATTAAATCGTGTTGTAACTCAACAGATTTTTATCGCATAAATCCCGAAAAATGTCACCTCGTCTGGAAGTATTTTAACCTTTCGATGGATTCTAAACTGAATGTCTTCAATGGCAATCATCGTTATATGGAACTTTTGGTGAAATTTTGGCATGATGTCAGTGTGCCGTGTTTACGTTCCGAGGATATACAAATTTCATGGCCGCGAAAGGAATGGTCTTGGATCGAAGTGAGTGTGGGGAGGGAGGGAGGTCGTTTGAAGTGATTAAGACTTTTTTCTTGGGGAATTTTTGTGGTTGTGGTTGTATACAGAAGGTTTGATGATTCAACACTGTCTGGCGTTTCAACCGTCTACACCATATCTTGAGGGTATAAGGGTGAGATAAAAAACTGCAACAAAGTCAAACGCCAAAATTTTTAAAAAATTTGTTTTTAATTTTATTGAATGAAAGCAAAAAATGTCGGAAAGAGCATGAAATTTTAGAATAAGTTTAGAAATGTTCGAATTGGTCACCTTTGGCACGAATTATGGGCTTCAAACGGTCAATGAAACCGAATGTTGCTCTGCGGTATTTGGCCCATTCCCGGCGAAGCACTTGCTTGCTTGAGGTGATCGACGCTTTGGGATTTTTTAGTGCCAACCTTGCTTTCCAAAATATTCCAGACACAATAGTCCAACGGATTGGTATCCGGAGATTTTGATGGCCATTGTGCGCTGGAAATGAAGCGTGGAACCTCATGTGACCATTCTTGGGTAGCGCGTGCTGAGAGCGATGGAGGTGAGTCCTGTTGGAATTTCCAAGGTCTGCGGCCAAAATGAATATTTTCAGAATATTTTCGCGATAATATTCGGCATTTATTCTGATGCCACGGTCGATTAATACGAACGGAGAGCAGTCATCGGCTGTTATGGCGGCCCACACCATCACCATAACCTGCGCTTTAGTTCTGATGGCCAACCAACGGTGCACATTTTCAGCTGACCTCTTTGGCAAGTAAACTCTATCATTTTGTCTGTTTACAAACTGCTGGACAACGAATGTTTCTCATCGGAGAAAACCAAGTTCGACAGTTCCACCACTTTCGACCAAGCGAAGCAACTCTTTAGCTCTTTTGAGTCTATTTTCTTTCTGTTGCGGTGTAAGCTCTTGAATATTTTGGAATTTAAAAGGCTTTACCCCGGGCTAATTTTTCAAATTTTGCCGAATGGAAGATTGCGATATGTTCAGCTCACGAGCCATTTTTCGGCCACTGCGACGCGGGCTTCGATCAAGTCGCTACTTTACTTTTCGAACCATTTCTGCTGATGTTGCTGTTTTCTTCCGTCCACTTCCTTGACGTCGGGCTACTCTACCAGTACCGCGGTAACGAGCGATGGTACGAGACACAAAATATTTATTCACATTTAAATGCTGGAGTGCTCTAACGATAGCCACTTGTGGTTTTCAAACCAAATATATAAAAATGTCACACTATAACGCTTGAATTCCATCATGAATATCTTTTTCGCTGGAAAATTCTCACCAAAATGTTATTGTACGCTTGTAAACAATATAATGAGCTGTCACCGGAATAATTTTAACAGCTGTCGGACGAGTGGCTTAGAAATGACAGTAGTCTGAAGTTGGTTGCAGTTTTTTCATCTCACCCTGTACACAGTAAATTTAATTGATCGTTCTAGGTGATTTCGGGAAACCGAATGTCCGGAATGTCCTGTTATTGGGAAATCGCCCACAGTGTTAGGAAACTTGTTAATGTAATATTTTATTTACAGAATCCGAACCATATTCCAGACTATTGTTTTACCCAACACTATAACGATACCACGCATAAAACCGACTTTATACCACTGGACTGTGCCACCGAATATACATGGTATAGTTATTCCCGATATGTAATCATCGTGGGTATGACGTACAAAAAATTAAAAAAAAAAAAACATATATATTTAAATTAAATTGCAATTGTTTACAGGCCTAATATTGTCGGTGTTGCTTCTCTTGTCCACCATATGTATCTACTTATTGATCAAAGATCTGAGGGGTAATATGCGTTTAAAACTCTTCATATGGTATTTGACATCACTGGTTATGGCCCACACATCGATGATAACCTGTGTCGATGTCATCTGGAGTTATGGCAATCAAAAATATTTGTCAGTTGTCATTGGTAAGTCAAAAAGAATAATTTGCTGAAACCCGAAAATTATATAAAAAAGAATTGTGAAATAACTCACTGACTGACAGGCCCAGACGAATCGGTTGAAGCCGGAATCTTGAGAGTCATTCTTGCAGCGTAGATGTGATAAGGCAAAGTTGTTTTTGAAATTCGTACTAAAAGGGTAGGAAAAGTTCTAAAATTGTTCTAGAATTCTAAAATTTGAAATGAGAGTCACTGATGGAGTGCAGGATAAACGTATGAAAGGGTTTTTGGAAATTCAAACTTCAAGGTTAGGATGGAACTAAGGAAGAATGGAACCAAATAATATAAAACGGTACCTTCTGGTATTACGCAAACGAATAGAGAATAGAAAACTTGAAATTTACAATTAAGGTGGTAAAGTAAGTTTGATAAATGAAGGTTGTTTTGGAAGTATATACTAAGTGTGAAAACTGTACTAAATGGTACTAAATTTGGAACAGTTTGGTTTAGGGCGAACGGGTATAGATCAAATTTAAAATTTTTGTATTGGGGTCCATGTGGCGGTAGGTTTGTGATATGGTTGGGTTTTTGGAAATATGTAGTATAAGTGCACGAAAGGTACTAAATAGTACTATATTTGGCTAAATTTGGTATAGGGGTAGCAGATAGTGTTTTAAATCAAATATTTTATATTAGGGTATAGCCATGGACACATGGACATAGTATCGGAATTGTGTACTAAATTGGGTATTGGATGAATGGATAGAGCTAGAAACCCCAAATTTGATATTGAGGTTCCTGTTGGTATCTGGTGTTGAGGTATGCAGGTGGTTTTGGAAATACGGGTGAGATAAAAAAACTGCAACAAAGTCAAACGCCATAATTTTTACATTTTTTTAAATTTTATTAAATGAAAGCAAAAAATGGAAATAAGCATCAAATCTTAGAATACATTTAGATTTGTTCGAATTGGTCGCCTTTGGCACGAATTATGGCCTTCAAAAGGCCAATGAAACCGTCACACGCTGCCCGAATGTTGCTCTGCGGTATTTTGTCCCATTCCCGGCGAAGCGCTTGCTTGAGGTGATCTACACTTTGATATTTTTTTAGTGCCAACTTTGCTTTCCAAAATACTCCAGAAACAATAGTCCGACGGATTGGTATCCGGAGATTTTGGTGGCCATTGTGCGCTGGAAATGAAGCGATGAACCTCATTTTGTAACCATTCTTGGGTGGGTGCGTGCTGCGTGCGATGGTGCTGAGTCCTGTTGGTATTTACAAGGTCTGCGGCCAAAATGTTTGCGTGCACAAGGCTTTAATACACCCTCCGCGATAATATTCGACACTTATTCTGATGTCACGGTCGATTAATACGAGCAGGGAACGACTATCGGCTGTTATGGCGGCCCACACCATAACCATGGCCGGCGCTTGAGTTTTGGTGGCCAACAGAAGGTGCACATTTTCAGCTGACCTCCTTGGCAAGTAAGCACGATCATTTTGGACAAGTTCACCACTTTCGGCCAAGCGAATCAACTCTTTAGCTCTTTTGAGTCTATTTTCTTTCTGTTGCGGTATAAGTTCTTGCACTTTTTGGAATTTCAATGGCTTTATTCCGTTTTCTTCCTTCCACTTCCTTGACGTCGGGCTACGCTACCAGTATCGCGGCAACGAGCGATGGTACGAGGCACAAAAGGTTTATTCACATTTAAATGCTGGAGTGCTCTAACGATAGTCACTTATAAAGAAATCGCAATACCACGCTTGAATTTTGTACGCTTGTAAACAATATAATGAGCCGTCACTGAAATAATTTTAACAGCTGTCGGACGAGAGGCTAAGAAATAAAAGCCGTCTGAAGTTGGCTGCAGTTTTTTCATCTAAACCTGTATGTACAATATAAATGTGTGCAATACATTTGTACTAAATAGTACTAAGTTTTTATCTAGGATGGAGAAATGTAGGTAGTTTTGGATATGCATAATATATATGAGGTGTAGAGATAAAATTCTGAAATTTGATATTGTGGTCTCTGTTGGTATCTGTGTTTGATATTTAGCGATGGTTTGGAAATACCTCCTTATATTTGTAAGAAAAGTACTCAATGGTACTAAATTTGGTATTGTGTGAAGGAATTGTGTGATATTGTAGTCTGGAATTAAGATATATAAGTGATTTTGGAAATGTGCCCTACAATTGTACTAAAAGTACTGAATAGCACTCGATTTTGTATTGGGTGAAGGAATAGAGTTGGAATTCTAAAATTTGATATGGACGTCACTCTTGGGGTCTGTGTTCGGCCGGGTCGAACTTTTAATACCCTCCACCATTTGGAACAAATTTGGAAATTTTCAAAAAATAAAATCCTTAAAAAAATCTGTTAAAATTTTAAAAATACCGAATATAGCCGTTATATTGGTGTCTATACGACGTGGACCTACATAGGCATTGTTTGTCATAAGCCATTACCATATTCAAATTCTAAACTTGAAATAAACGGGGAATAATGTAGCTAAAATCATCAAGATCGTATATATGGGAGGTTCCGTTATATCGGAGCTGTGAGAAGACCTGAACCAACATAGACAATTTTCTGTCACAGGATGTAGCATCCATTACAAACTTCAAATACGACATCTCAAACTATTTCGGTAGGTTTTGTACCTAAACTCGTTAAAATACTGAATATAGAGAGGTACTGATACTGATGCATAGACAATTTTCTGTCACAGACTGTAGTATCCATTTCGAACTTCAAATACCAAAGTTGAAACAATTCCGGTGAATAATGTCGCTAAAATCAACAAAATACTGAATATCAAGAGGTACCGTTATATGGGGGCTATATGAAAACGTGGACCTACATGGCCCATTTACGAACTTAACCCGCCTACTGGAAAAACAAACATGTGTGCAAAATTTTAGCCTTCTATTTCAATTCGTTCGTGATTACGACAGACAGACGGGCAGACAGACCGACGGACATCGCTAAATCGACTTAGAATGAGTAACCCTCACGACTAAGAGTAACCCTCATGCAAACATTTTCAGATCCTAGCTCCTACCGATCCTTAAATTACGATTTAGTACTTTACGTATCAGTCGCTTTAAAACAGAATATTACCATATTCTACTCTTTGAGATCGAAATTCTAAAAATTCTGCATATTCTCAAGCTGATTTCTCACAGCAATTTTAAAATTGTTTTTTTTTTTCTCCCCTAGGTTTCATCTCATCATATTTCTTCATGTCCACATTTCTCTCAATGAACGTGATTGGCTTTGAAATTTGGATAACGTTCAAGCAATTGAGTGTGGAGAATAATTTGAGGAATGATCAGAAACGTTACACCCTCTATGCCATCTATGTGTGGAGTATACCAATAATTTTCTATATTTTATACTTTTTGACGCTGAGTAAGTTCAAAATTTATTTATTTTATCAAAAAAATCTAAAGTACTATTACACTGTGCAACACAAAAAAAAAAATAAAAAATAAATACAGAAAAAAGTTCACCAGATCATAAAGGTAGAGCTAAAAATGAAAGATACGTGTATCGACCTTCTGTTTATATCACAAAGTAACTTATGGAGAGGGGAAAGTTCCCCATTTTTCAACATTTTGACAAATTTTGGATTAAGATTCCTCGGAATTCTCGAATTTTTTTATATATAGTACCTTCGGCAATATTGCAGATAAAAACACGAGGATTATTTTATATATTTTATTTTCTATTTATTTTATTATATGCTCCACCATACATAGTATGGAGGGTACATTAAGTTCGTTATTCCGTTTGTAACTCATCGAAATAATAATTTTAGACGGACGATACTTTGCATTCTTGATCAGCGTAAAATTCTAAAACGTTCGTCCGTCTGTCCGAATTAAGATAGGAAGCTAGAATTTTGCACAGATCGGTCTTTTGTCTGCGGGCAGTTCGAAGTTCGAAGATGGGCTACATCGGAACACGATATCGTATAGTACCCATATAACGATAGCCCAGAACATTCGGTATTTTGATGACTGTAGCCAAAATTTTCAAAAAATTGTCAGAAAATCCACAACAGCAGTTCTTTTGGAGTACTTAATCTCTTGGAAGTGTTCTGTCTATATCGGCCCACGACATCGTATTGCCCATATACAACGGTACCCCGATATTCGATATTTTAACGATTTAAGGGACATTATTCACCGGAGTTGTTTTAAATTTCGTCTTGTTTTAAATTTCTTGGGAACTACAGTCTATGACAGAAAATTGTCTATGCCGGTCCATGACTTCGTATGGGCTCCATATATTAGTATTTTTCTATATTCGGTATTTTGACGATTTTAGGTACAATATTCCCCGATATTGTTTGAAGTTTCCTATTTGAAGTTCCTCAAAGAGGTAATAAAGCCTGTGATAGAAAAATTGTCTATGAAGGCCCAGGTCTTTGTATAGCCTCGAATTAACGGTACTTCCCTATATTCGACATTTTGATGATTTTAGCGACATTTGCACCGGATTTTTTCAGATTTTGTATTTGAATATTGTAATTGCTTATGGCAAAAATTGTCTGTGAAGGTCTGTGAACGTCTTCGTATAAACCCCAATATAACGGCTATATTCGGTATTTCTAAGATTTCAACAGAATTTTTTTATTTTTCTTTTTTTGAAATTTTCCAAATTGGTTACAAATGGTGGAGAGTATTCAAAGTTCGGACCGGTCTTTATACCCTACACCACAAGGTGGTCAGTGTATTAAGTCTTTGTGCATTTGTTTGTAACAGGCAAAAGGAAACGAGATAGACCCATACTTCCTTTTGATGATCTGCATAGAATCACTTTCTGAGTTGATTTATGCTTGTCAGTCCGTCCGTCCGTCCGTCTGTCCATGTATTCTTGTGAACAAAATGCAGGTCGCATTTATTATCCGATTGAGATGAAATTTTGCAAACAACATTTGTTTGACCCAAGGACGAACCCTATTGAAATTGGAGATAATCGGTAAAAAGTTAGATATAGCTCCCATATATATCTTCGTCCGATTTGCCTTTTATTGTGCACCAAACGTGTAATATCAGCCCGAATTGTATAGAATTTTGCATATACACCCATGTTAGGCCTGAAAATATGTATGCCAAATTTGATCGAAATCGGTTCAGATATAGCTATAGCTCCCATATATATTGTTCATCCGATTTGTTATTTTTGTCCTCCGCAGCCGTAATATGCACTCTGTAACAACAATATTTGGGTAAATATATCAAATGCAGCTCAGAAATACCTTTGCTAAATTTTATCGAGATCGGTTCAGATTTGGATATAGCTCCCACATATAACTTCGCCGATTTACCTTTGATTGCGCACCAAACGTCTAATATTTGCCCAAATGGGATGGAATTTGGCACATACGACCGAATTTAGTCTAGAAGGTAGTATGCCAAATTTGGTGAAGATCGGTTCAGATATAGTTATAGCTCCCATATATACTGTTCATCCGATTTGTTATATTTGTTACCCACAGCCGTAATAAGCACTCCGTAACAACGATATTCAGGGAAATATATCAAATACAGCTCAGAAATATCTTTGCCAAATTTTATCGAGATCGGTTCAGATTTGGATATAGTTCCCATATATATTTTTATCCGATTTCAAATTAATTGTGCACCAAATGGGCAATACAAGTCCGAATTTAAAAGATACAAATGCTTCGGCATATTTAGTCCTTTGAACTTTAAATTATAATTATAATCATTGCGTGTATGAGTGAATTCTCCCATAAAAACTTTTAATTGCTATGTGGAGCTCTACTTAATTAGCAAAGTGGTGTAGGGTATTATAAAATCGGCCCCGCCCGACTTTAGGACTTTCTTTACTGGTTTTCTACTTGTTTAACTGGATATACCCCGTATCACTCACTGGTGAGTCATTATAAATGGGTTTGATTGGCCAAGACGTTTAAAACACCTCGAAATATTAGCCCTACACTCATCATGTTTTATGTGGAACTTCATATCTCGATATTTTCATCTGCAACATTACCGAAGACACTGAATACCTAAAGTTCATGGATTGCAAGGAATATTAATCCGAAAACCCTCAAAAGTGTGAAAGAGGTGGAGGCTATATTAAAGGATTGATGGAATTGATACTTGAAGTGAAGTGATGAATATCCACGAGGAGATTTACGTGTCGTCTTTAGCCATTTTAGTCTTCATGACCCTTATATTACAGTGTCCTTGTGATTAATCTTACCGTAACTATTATTTGGTATTTTTAAGATTTTAACAGAATTTTTAACGGTTTTTTTTAAATTTTCCAATTTTTTTCCAAATGGTGGAGGGTATCCAAAGTTTGGACCAGCCGAACTTACAGCTTTTTATATGGTGGAGGGTATCCAAAGTTTGGACCAGCCGAACTTACAGCTTTTTATACCCTACACCACATAGTGGTAAGGGTATTATGTCTTTGTGCATTTGTTTGTAACATGGAGAAGGAAACGAGATAGACCCATAGTTACTTTTGAGAACCTTCATAGAATCACTTTCTGAGTCGATTTATGCATGTCAGTCCGTCCGTCTGTCCGTCCGTCCGTCCGTCTGTCCATGTATTCTTGTGAACAAAATGCAGGTCGCATTTATTATCCGATTGAGATGAAATTTTCTAAGCAATATTTTTTTGGCCCAAGGACGAACCCTATTGAAATTGGTGAGAATCGGATCAAATTTAGATATAGCTCCCATATATATCTTCATCCGATTTCGCCTTAAATGTGCACCAAATGTCCACTATCAGTCCAAATTACCTGAATTTTGGCACACCCAACCGAGTTCGGCCTAGAAGCAAGTATATCAAATTTGGAGAAAATCGGTTCAGATATAGCTATAGCTCCCATATATATCTTTCATCCGATTTGATCTTTAAGTCCCTCACATTCCTACTATGCACTACACAACCGTGATATTTGGCACCTCACATTCGTAATATGCACTCCACAGGAATGATATTTGGTACCAGATATCAGATAAAGACCAAAAATAGAATTAGATAGATTTTGATTTTGTACCAAATATCTCATAGAGCTCTGAAATATCCTGTATAAACCTTTTTACGAGAGCTCTACTAAATATGCATAGTGGTGTAGGGTATCATATAGTCGGCCCCGCCCGACTTTTGAGCTTTCCTTACTGGTTTATTTGTTATTTTTGATTATTATTTTTTATTATAATTATTACTATTATTGTAAAGTTTTTTTATCAACTTTATTTAATGTGTTTAATTTTTTTTTATTTTCAGGTAGTTTCTGGTCATTTGGTCCCGTTGTCATAATACTTTTCCTCAATTTCTTCACCTTTGTCATTTTGACGTATAAAATCTGCACAACACGTTACAATGTGGCAAATTTAACGGATAATCAAAATCTTGTTGTCGAAACGTGAGTCGTAATTTTCAGTTTTTTTTTTAATTTTAAAGAGATTTTTTTATTAATTTTCCTTTTTCATCATCTTCAATTTTTGGTCCTGTATTTTCAGTGTTAAAATCATCTTGAGTTTATTCTTTATGATGGGTATACCACGTCTAATATTCTTCGTTTTTTTATATATGAGTAATTTGGCCTATTACATGATCTCCAAGTATATTTTCCTATCGATAGAGGCTCCGCTGATATTTAAATTATTTGTTCTGAAGAAAAATGTTTGGAATATGCTGAAGAATAGGTAAGGTGTAAAAGAGATGTGCGAATTGTTTACGCCAGAAAATAAAGGTCAGACTGAAGCCTCCGCTTGAAAATATTGTTTGGTGGCATGGCTCTATATTAACTTCAGAAACATGGAGTCGTAGTCGTTCCTTTTCTATATCTTTTAACGCTTTGTCATGTCCGAATCATTTTTCTAATAATTGTTATTTTCTTCTTTAGATTTTGGCACAAATACATCCAGGCTAACACAACAACAGAAGACGTTTCCGCCACTCCATGAGATTGAGTTCGCTAAGTTTGAATTGTTCAGTTCCTGTGATATTGGAAAGATAAAGAAGAAGAATTGTTTGTGGGAAAATCTGTATGAAAATCCACACCATGTGCCTTATGTATTGGAACAATTAATTTAATAATTTAAATTAAACAATTGTAGATTTTTAATTATGGGAAAAACTGAAAAAATGAATAGAGTTGCATAAACGTAACGTAATACAAGCTACATGTACTTAATAAAAATACGAAAAAAATGCGATGCAACTTTTTATTGAAATGCCAGCAAGAAACCAGCAAGGAAAAACAAAAGTCGAGCAGTGTCGACTTTATTATAACCTACACCACTATGAATATTTTTTAGTAAAATGCAGCAAAAAAAAAATGTTCATATTTGCAGTTTAATTATTAATGACGCATTAAGGCTTTGTCGCGATTTAAATCTAAAATCGGCTGATAATAACCTATGAAAACTACATCATAATCAATTTCCACTGAACTTGACTGAGGTAAATTTATGCTGTTTGTGACCTCTCTGATCAACTATCATTGACTTTCAGAATACTTAAATATAAAATCGGATGAAGCAACTTGATTGGAACAAGTATACAAGAACCTAAGTTCGGCAGGGCCGAACTTTTAATACCCACCACTATTTGGAATTTGAAATTTTCAAAAAAAAAAAACCAGTAAGGAAAGCTCAAAAGTCGGGCGGGGCCGACTATATGATACCCCACACCACTATGCATATTTAGTAGAGCTCTCGTAAAAAGGTTTATACAGGGCATTTCAGAGCTCTATGAGATATTTGGTACAAAATCAAAATCTATCTAATTCTATCATGCATTTTACGAACTACAGCTATCTCTGAACCGGGTTTCTCCAAATTTAATGTATTCTTCTTCTTCTTCTAGACTGGTGATTTGGGCTGATATTTACCATTTTGTGCACATTTAACCCGAAATCGGATGAAGATATATATGAGAGCTATATCCAAATCTGAACCGATTTCGATAAAATTTAAAACAGCTATTCCTGTGCTCCATCTAATACCTGGTACCAAATATCACGGTTGTGGAGTGAATATTACGAATGTATGGGACTAAAATTCTAAATCGGATGAAACATATATATGGTTGCTATATTTATATCTGAACCGATTTTCACTAAATTTGATATACTTGCTTCTAGGCTGAATTTGGTCCGATGTACTAAAATTCAGTCCATTTGGACTTATATCGGCCATTTGGTGCACAATTAACCCGAAATCGGATGAAGATATATATGGGAGCTATATCCAAATCTGAACCGATTTCGATAAAATTACAAACATCTATTTCTGGGCTGCATCTTATATCTGGTACCAAATATCATTCTTGTGGAGTGCATATTACGAATGTGAGAGGCTTAAACACCAAATCGGATGAAAGATATATATGGGAGCTATAGCTATATCTGAACCGATTTTCTCCAAATTTGATATACTTGCTTCTAGGCCGAACTCGGTTGGGTGTGCCAAAATTCAGGTAATTTGGACTGATAGTGGACATTTGGTGCACATTTAACCCGAAATCGGATGAAGATATATATGGGAGCTATAGCTGTTTCTGAACCGATTTTCTCCAAATTTGTTGTATTTGCTTTAAGGCTAATCTCGGTCATATGTGCCAAAATTCGGGCCATTTGGGCTGATATTGGTCATTTGGTGGTCAATTAACCCGAAATCGGATGAAGATATATATGGGAGCTATATCCAAATCTGAACCGATTTCGATAAAATTTAAAACAGCTATTTCTGTGCTCCATCTAATACCTGGTACCAAATATCACGGTTGTGGAGTGCATAGTAGGAATGTGAGGGACTTAAAGATCAAATCGGATGAAAGATATATATGGGAGCTATAGCTATATCTGAACCGATTTTCTCCAAATTTGATATACTTGCTTCTAGGCTGAACTCGGTTTTGTGTGCCAAAATTCAGGTAATTTGGACTGATAGTGGATATTTGGTGCACATTTAACCCGAAATCGGATGAAGATATATATGGGAGCTATATCTAAATTTGATCCGATTCTCACCAATTTCAATAGGGTTCGTCCTTGGGCCAAAAAAATATTGTTTGGAAAATTTCATCTCAATCGGATACTAAATGCGACCTGCATTTTGTTCACAAGAATACATGGACAGACGGACGGACGGACGGACGGACGGACGGACAGACGGACTGACATGCATAAATCGACTCAGAAAGTGATTCTATGAAGGTTCTCAAAAGTAACTATGGGTCTATCTCGTTTCCTTCTCCATGTTACAAACAAATGCACAAAGACATAATACCCTTACCACTATGTGGTGTAGGGTATAAATACATTAAGTTCAGCCCGTCCGAACTTTTAGTACCCTGCACCATTGCATAAAAACAACATTTTTATATAAAAGTATCTGAATTCAAACGTGTTAGACTTTAAACCACAAATACCAGTTTGGACTGTTCGGATAAACTTTTCAAAAATAAAGTGGGTTAGGTCATTATATGGGGGCCATACCAAAACGGGAACCTCTATAAACAATTTTATACTTCAAGGATTGTAATCTTCCAAATCTTCTAAAATGCCAAATTTGAAACAATTTCGTGGGTAAATGTGACTAGGATTATCAAAATAGCGAATATCGGTGGATATCGTTATATGTGCGCTATAGAAAAACGTGGATCAAAATATTCAAAATTCTGCTACCGGAGCTAGAACCCATTATGAACTATAAATACCAATATTTAGACAAATCTAAATCTATATTTAGACAAATCTGTAAAAAAATGTGGCAAAAAGTCATCGAAATACTGAATATCCGGATGCATCATTATGTGGTGGCTATGCGAAAACGTGGACCTATGCATATTATGCTAGAACCCATTACGAACTGCAAATACCAATTTATACAAATACATGGGAAAATGTTGCAAAAATCATCAAAAAGCCGAATTTCGGGAGTTACCGTTATATGGGGGCTATACAAAAAAGTGGACCTAGACATACAATGTTTCGCCACCGGATCTAAAACCTATTATTACAGACAAATTCATGGAAAAAAATGGGGAAAATCATCAAAATACCGAATATCGGGAGGTACCATCATTTTCAATATCAACCAACAACTATCAACCACTTGCTACTAGACTGAATTCGGTCGGATATGCCAAATATTATCGAAATCGGCTAAGATTTGAATTTAGCTCCTAAATATCCTTTATCCGATTTCAGGTTTATTGTGCAAATAATGGCTAATATCAGCCCAAATGTATAGCAATGTTATTTGATATAAAATATTAATATATCTCCGTTAAATTTAGTGAAAATCTAATTTCAGAATTGGATATGTCTCCCATATATAGTAATTCCCTCTGAAACCAAACTATAGCTGCTCTAAAGCCAAATGTTGATAGGAACATATTGAGTTATGAATAGAGCCGCCAAGTAGTGTGTCTCCAAGACCTATGATTCAAGAGTTTATTCCAGTTTCAGTTTCAAGTTAATTCAAATTGAATTTGCGACTAAAGCAAGGACTGCCTATTTTCAAGGAATATGTATTCCAAGTATTCAGTTAAGAAAATTAATTAAGGGAAGTTTTTTTTTTTGAAGATTTAAAAAATGTTATAAGAAAAGAAAAAGAAATTGGAAAAACAACTTATTTTCCACACAATTGTAAATGGAATACCCAAGAGTCTTTTTTTTCAAAATAGACGGAATTCCATAAACTTTTCACCAGAGGTACAAAACCAGGCCATTAGATTTTTTTTTGTAAAATTTAATGAAAGTTAGTAGGTTTCATCTTTTCAAAAAAAAAAACAGTAAAGAAAGTCCTAAAGTCGGGCGGGGCCGATTTTATGATACCCTACACCACTTTGCTAATTTAGTTGAGCTCCACTTAATAATTAAAAGTTTTTATGGGAGAATTCAATCATACACCCTATGATTATAATTTAAAATTCCAAGGACTAAATATGCCGAAGCATTTGTATCTTTTAAATTCGGACTTGTATAGCCCATTTGGTGCGAAATTAATTTGAAATCGGCAAAAAATATATATGGGAACTATGTCCAAATCTGAACCGATCTCGATAAAATTTGGCAAAGATATTTCTGAGCTGTATTTGATTTTTTCCCTGAATATCGTTGTTACAGAGTGCATATTACGGCTGTGGGTAACAAATACAATAAATCGGATGAACAATATATATGGGAGCTATAACTATATCTGAACCGATCTTCACCAAATTTGGCATACTACCTTCTAGTCGTATGTGCCATGTGCCCATTTGGACAAATATTAGACGTTTGGTGCACAATAAATGGTAAATCGGACGAAGTTATATGTGGGAGCTATTCCAAATCTGATATTTTTTGAGCTGCATATTATATATTTCCCCAAATATTGTTGTTACAGAGTGCTTATTACGGCTGCGGAGGACAAAAATAACAAATCGGATGAACAATATATATGGGAGCTATAGCTATATCTGAACCGATTTCGATAAAATTTGGCATACTTATTTTCAGGTCTAATTTGATTGTATGTGCAAAATTCCATACTATTCGGGCTGATATTACACGTTTGGTGCACAATAAAAGGCAAATCGGACGAAGATATATATGGGAGCTATATCTAAATTTTTACCGATTATCTCCAATTTCAATAGGGTTCGTCCTTGGGCCAAACAAATGTTGTTTGCAAAATTTCATCTCAATCGGATAATAAATGCGACCTGTATTTTGTTCACAAGAATACATGGACAGACGGACGGACGGACGGACGGACAGACGGACTGACATGCATAAATCAACTTAGAAAGTGATTCTATGCAGATCATCAAAAGGAACTATGGGTCTATCTCGTTTCCTTTTGCTTGTTAGAAACAAATGCACAAAGACATAATACCCTGACCAACTTGTGGTGTAGGGTATAAAAATCCTTTCAAAATTCTAGGATAATCTACTTCAAATAAATTCTTGTAAATATGCATAGTGATGTAGGGTATCATAAAGTCGGTCCGCCCGACTTTTGACTTTTCCTTACTGGTTTTTAATATGCTTGAAGACTTTTTAGAGATCGTAGCAAGTCAAAATATTTTTCAAATTTATTGTGAAATGCCAATTCAAAACGCAGTTTAGGGTTAAACCAGTGAGTTTAGAAATCTCCATCTTTCAACTTTACACAATATTTATTATCAATCAAAAAAACAAAAAAAAAAAAAAAAAAAAATATATATATATATTGTTCTTTGGGGATTTTTTTAATTAAAAAAATTTCAAAATCGGGGAATTTTTATTCTTATTATTGTAAAATGCCAATTCAAGACGCATTTTAGGGTTAAACTAGTGAGTTTAGAAATCTTTAGGAAAAATTTCAACTTACATAATATATATATATATATATATATATATATATATATATATATATATATATATATATATATATATATATATATATATATATATATATATATATATATATATATATATATATATATATATATTTATATATACATATATATATATATATATATATATTGTTGTCCTTTGGGGATTTTTTAATTCAAAAAATTTTCAAAATCGGGGAATTTTTATTTTTGTGTGGTTCTTATATTTCTTTTTTATCATAGATAATAAAATTATATTTTTAACATTCTTGTGGTTCACACGACTGTTCAATGGTGGGTGACTACTTACTCATCGGAATAATGATTGGACATGAAATGCGTTGCAGTTTGCTACGAATAGTCGAAGTGTTTAAAACGCGATAAACGTTGCAATTAAAAAACAAAAACATGAAACATTTTTCAACCATTTTTGTAATATTTTCAATAATTTGCTTACGCTTTGCATTATGCGCCAGAGACAAGTGTCGTGCGGACGAAACGTTGTGCGTTCGCTCGTGTTGCAATTCAAGCGATTTCTATCAAGTGAATGTCCAGAAATGTGAACTGATATCGAAATATTGTCGTCTGTCAACGGAAACTAAGTTGAATGTTTTCAATGGCATTCGCCGTTACATGAATCTGCTGATGAAATTTTGGCATGATGTCAGTGTTCCGTGTTTACGTTCCGAGGATGTGGATATGCCGTGGCGTAAATCAAAAACAGTGGAGAAGTATCAGGTAAGAGGGACGGAATTGTGATGACTTGTTATACCCTCCACCATAGAATGGAGGGTATATTAAGTTCGTCATTCCGTTTGTAACTCCTCCAAATACTCATGTCAGACCCAACAATGTATATATATTCTTGATCAGCGTAAAATTCTATGTCGATTTAGCGATGTCCGTCTGTCTGTCTGTTGTAATCACGCTATCTTTCGAACGAATTGAGATAGAAGGCTAAAATTTTGCACACATGTTTATTTTTTCAGTAGACAGGTTAGATTCGTAAATGGGCTATGTAGTTCCACGTTTTCATATAGCCCCCATATAACGGTACCTCCCTATATTCGGTATTTTGATGGTTTTAGCGACATTATTCACCGGTATTATTTCAAATTTGGTATTTGAAGTTCGAAATGGATACTACAGCCTAAAACAGAAAATTGTCTTTGCAGGTCCACGTCTTCGTATAGCCCCCATACCTCCCTATATTCTGTATTTTGATGATTTAAAATTCATTATTCACCGAAATTGTTTCAAATTTGGTATTTGAAGTTCGTAATGGATACTACAGCCTAAGACAGAAAATTTTCCGTGCAGGTCCACGTCTTTGTATAGCCCCATATAACGGTACCTCCCTATATTCGGTATTTTGATGATTTTGGCGACATTATTCACCGTAATTGTTTCAAATTTGGTATTTGAAGTTCGTAATGGATACTACAGCCTAAGACAGAAAATTGTCTGTGCAGGTCCACGTCTTCGTATAGCCCCATATAACGGTACCTCCCTATATTCGGTATTTTCATGATTTTAGCGACATTATTCACCGTAATTGTTTCAAATTACGTATTTAGAGTTCGTAATGCGAACTACAGTCTGTGACAGAAAATTGTCTATACAGGTCCAGGTCTTCGTATAGGCCCCATACATCAGTACCTCCCTCTATTCGGTATTTTGACGATTTAAGGTACAATACCCACCGAAATTGTTTGACTTGTCGTATTTGACGTTCGTATTGGATACTACAGTCTGTGACAGAAAATTGTCTATACAGGTCCAGGCCTTCGCATAGGTCCGATATAACGGTACCTCCCTATATACCATATTTTGATGATTTTAGCTTCACCGTTTGTTTCAAGTTTCGAATTTAAATATGGTAATGGCTTATGACAAAGAATGCCTATGTAGGTCCACGTCGTATAGACCCCAATATAACGGCTATATTCGGTAGTTTTAAAATTTAAACAGATTTTTTTAAGGATTTTATTTTTTGAAAATTTCCAAATTTGTTCCAAATGGTGGAGGGTATTCAAAGTTCGGCCCGGTCGAATTTACTGCTTTTTAACTTGTTTATATATAAACATAAGGCGGAACTGGAAAATTCCAGATTCTCTATTCAGAATTCTAATCAAAGGTTTTTTATCTCTTTCAGGACCCCATAAATATACCCGACTATTGTTTTAGCGCTCAGTATAACTCGACGACAAATCAATTCGATATGGTACCCCTGAATTGTGCCAAGGAGAATACCTGGCACACCTATACCCGATATGTGATCATAGTGGGTAAGTAGTACATACTTTGCAATTATTATGTTAAAAAAATTAAAGGACATATATTGAAAAATGTAGGTTTGTTGTTTTCGGTGCTACTTCTGCTGACAACTATTTGCATCTATTTGACCATCAGGGAGCTGCGTAATAATATGCGTTTGAAACTATTCATTTGGTATTTGACATCCCTGGTCTTCGGCCATACATCGTTGATAACGTGTGACGAAGTCATTTGGAATTATGAGGGGAAGGAGTATTTAAAATTTGGAATTGGTAAGTACCAATAAAAGTGTGCGACATAGTTCAAATTGCTTCCATAATTACAAGAAAAACTCCGTAGATTACATTGTGCAATTAAATTTAGTGTTTTAAATAACTACAGGGAAAATCTAACAGCTAATGAAAGAAAAGCTAACGAGTAACCAGTAAGAAAAGATAAATAGTCGGGCTGGGCCGGCTATATGATACCCTACACCACAATGGATATTTAGTTTTATATTGGGGAATTATGTGAAGTAGATCTGAACCTTATAGTAGACATGAACCTTATTTGAATCCGTATTTTGGCTTTAGAGTAGTCACAATTTGGAAAGTATATCCAACTCTGAATCGATTTTCCACAAATTTAACAGAGGCTTTTGTACTTCTAGTACCAAAAACATTGCTGTATAGTGCATGATATGACTTCGACAAGAGCGAGATTCTCCAAGTGGAAAAATTCGGTTGAATATGAAAAAATCTATCCAATCAGCGGTTGATATCTACATTAATAAAAGAGACTTAATGATTCATCAACGCCCAGACGAAACGGCTGAAGCTAGAATCTTGAAATTTTGGGTGAGGGTCACTTTTGGTCCGAAGAGGTCAGATAAGGCTGGGTTTTGGAAATTCGTACTAGAACGGTACGAAAAGTACTAAATATGATACTCTTTGTATTTGACGAACCAGTAGAACTAACTCTTTAATCTAGAATAAGGATCGCTAATGAAGTGAGTGATGGATGTACCAAAGGGATTTTGGAAATTCGCACTATAAGTGTACGAAAGGTACTAAAATGTATTACATTTGGTGCGATTTCGTATTAGGTGAACAGTTAGAGCTAAAAACTTAAAATTTGAAATGGAAATGAAGGTTGAGAAGTAGGGTCGATGTAAGGAGGAAGTTATGGAAGTGTGTACTCATTAATACGAAAAGTACTAAACGGGACTAAATTTGGTACAATTCGAATTTGGAGGAACGAATGGAGCAAGAGGCCTTAAATTTGAAATTAACATTACTGAGAGGGTGTAGGATTGGGGTATGGACGTAATTTTTAAAATTTGTAATTATGTACAGGAACGGTACTAAATTTTGTACAGTTTGGATTTAGGTGAACAGATAGAACTGAAATCTTTAAAATTGGAAATAAGATTACTTTGCACTGTAGGAATGGGTTATGTAGGTAGTTTTGAAAATTTGTACTTATGTGTACGAAATGTTACCAAACATGGCACAATTTAAATTTTGGAAGACCGATAGAGTTGAAATTCTGAAACTTGGAAATAAGATTTCTCTTGAATTCTAGAAATGTAAGTAGTTAGGAAAATTCTAACTTATGTGTACTAAATGATACTAAATTTACCACAATTTCAATTTTGGGAGACCAAAACCAATATAGAGTTGGAATCCTAAAATTTGGAACTAAGATTACTATTGCATTGTAGGGCTGAGGTATGTAAGAGGTTTTGGAAATTCGTACTTATGTGTACTAAATGACACTAAATTTGGTACAATTTCAATTTTTGGATGAACCAATTAAGTTGGAAGCATGAAAATAGAAAATAAGTACTACAAGAGTGCAAAAGGTTGGAAAAGTTGGAGTTGGAAGTCTATAATTTGAAATTAGGATCACCTTTTGTGCAAATTGGTTGATATATGGCGGGGAACTTGGAAATACCTACTAAAAAGTACGGAAATACTGAATAGTATAAACTGTGGTACTTGGGGAAGAAATAGAGCAAAATATCTGAATTTTGGAGTAAGAGTCTTTGATGTTGCATAGGATAAACAAACTAAAGTGTTTTTCGAAATTTTAAGAATATGTACACCAGAAGTACTAAAGTGCACTAAATTTGGTAACATTTGGAATTATATAAACGGATAGAGAAAGAATCTTGTGATTTGATAAGAGAATCAAGTCTGAAAAATAGTGTTGACATAAGGAGGTAATTTTGTTATATGTGGGATAGTGCTTAAAATCTCAAAAAAAATATTCAACCAATTTATAACTTGATATTGATAAACTGTGGTAATTTATTTAATACATCTTATTTGGGATAAAAATTCTCTTAAAGTCGGATGAAGACGTACACTGGTGGCCAAAACTGAAGCAACTTAAATCGCAAAGAAGATAAATGTCCTGTAACTTTTACAAAAATAAACAAATCGTAATTATTTTTCCAGTTTTAAACGAGGGGTTTAATTCACTTTTAAGAAACTAAAAATAAAAATACAAAAATAATTTTGAACGAAAAATAATGTGTGGAAAACTAAAATGACCCAAATTTTGCTTGGTCAAAACTAAAGCAACTTTTGATTTTTTTATTTTAAAATAATTAAATTTTGGCTAGTAGTCGATAGCATAACCATTATTTTTGATAGCACGCTCAATTTGATCCTTGGGTGTGCTTTCCCAGGCACCCCGAATTCTTTAGAAAATGTTGTGCTTATTTATTTCCGAATCTCGCTTGATTTTCCTATCTACGATACTCCAAAGGTTTTCTATGGATTGATTATCAGGTGATTGTGCCGGCCATAACAAAACATCAATTTTTGACTCCCGCAACCAATATTTGACAAGTTTTGATACAAGTTTGGGAAAACACCCAAATCAGCCGAATATTTTACTCAGCGTAAGGGAACAACGTGATGTCCAACACATCTTTGTAAACAAACCGATCCACAACTTCCTTTATTTTATGGATAGGCCCAAGTCCATAGAAAGAAAAACAGCGCCACGCCATTTTTGACCCTGCCTCATGCTTTACTGTACCTTTGCAACACTGCGGCTTGAGTCCTTCATTTTTTGGTCTTCTCACCGTAAAATTTTTCATGTCTGAGCCTTTAATATTAAACGTAGACTCATCCCAGAAATAATGTTTTTTCCATTGAGCTTGATTCCACTTAATATTATCGTTTCCGAAAGCCTTTTTGATTTTTTCACATATAAATGGTTTTTTACGGGCATGCAGACCAGCTGCCACTACTCATCTACGCTTATATCCAATGATTGCTCTCTCGCCAATCCAGTTGAACTCTTAAATGGTTGTTTTTTATTTCCCTCACAATTTGTGGATCAGTACGGGCTGAAGTTTTTCTCGGCCTTCATCCGTTATAGACTGTTACTACTGATCCAGTATCAAAAAACCGACTCAGTATACAGAAATAATTATAAAATCACATAAATATTTATGAAATATTTCTCGGAAATTATTTTCTGTGATATGTTGTTTTGATAGTCACTGATAATTTGCTGTTTTATCCAGGTACTGTATTTGCTTCTAGCCATTTTTAAACTTTTTTTGGGCAGAATTAAAAAAACGAAAAGAAAAACACATACTGTTGTAAAAAACTTCTCAAAAAGGATTTATGACAAGCGAAATTGTCGAAGGAAGCAAAAAGCGATAAATATCACAGTAAAAACAACTGAAATTGCAGCGGTTATATGAGTGTACAACATAGTTGCTTTTGTTTTGTCCAAGCCAAAATCGGGTTAATTGACTTTACCAAACATTAGTTTTTATATAAAAATGAATTTTGGTTTTAGGTTTTTAAAAAGTGAATGAAGTACCTAATTTAAAACAAGAAAAACTTTCTCATTTTACTAATTTTTAAAAAAGTTGCAGGGCATTCATTCTCCTTGTAATTTCAGTTGACTTAGTTTTGGCCACCAGTGTATATCGAAGCTACATAAAAATCTGAACTGATATCGAAAAAATTTGGCAGAGGTATTTTCGAGCAGCTTCTGATGTCCGGTATCAAATATCGTTGTTGTGGAGTGCATATTGCACATGTGAGGGACTTAAAAGCCAAATCGGGTGAAATATATGTATATGGGTGCCAAAGCTATATCTGAACCAATTTTCACCAAATGTGAAGTAATTGTTTCTAGGATGAATTCAGTCGCAATTGCCAGTCAATTTGGGCTGATATTAGCCATTTGGTAAACAATAAACCTGATATCGAATAAAGATAAATATGAGAGCATCCGATATCTGGCACTGGCAAGATCAATGTTGTGGAATGCATAGTACTTAAAACCCAAATCGCATAGAACATATGTATGGGAGCTATATATCTGAATCGATTCTCACCAACCCCAATAGGGTTCGTCCTTGGGCCAGACAAATATTGTTTGGAAAATATCACATCAATCGGATAAAAAATGCGACCTGCATTTTGTTCATAAAAATAAATGGACAGACGGACTTGTTGATACATATGGGGATTTTCTTTGTTGTGTATACATGGTATGGAGGGTATATGAAGTTTGACATTCCGTTTGTAACTCATAGAAATAGTCCTTTTAGTATATATATTCGTATATAGTATACTAGCTGAACCCGGTGCGCTTCGCTACCCCTTTTGATTTTATATGCATTCAAAATTTTATTTACGAATATATGTTGGATAAAGAAAAACAAATTTAAAAATTTAAAAAAAAAAATATTGCACTAATTTAATGCGTTAATAAACAAAATCATTACAAAATCAGTAACATGACATGCATACACGAAGGGTTTGTCCTTTGAATTTATTTATTTCATAGCAAATACCAAGCGTGCAGGAAACTGCAATTTTTTGAAGTTGAGTGGTTTTTCTATCGCAATTAGTGAATTCGAGATAGCAACATACTTCGCCGTAATAAGCGAATTTCAAATTAATTTGTTGTGTTGTTTTTTAGTGTTAGCCTAAACCACACCTTTCATAATTCATTAAAATTGGTGTTTTGTGCATAAAATACATGAAATCGGCGGAAAATATATATAGGAGCTATATCCAAATCTGAACCGATTTTAATATAATTTGACTAATTTATTTTCTAATCAAAATCCCGTTACATATTCCAAATTTCTTTGGAATCGAACATACACATCGTTTATGGTGCATAAAATACATGAAATCGGTCGAAAATATATATGAGAGCTATATCCAAATCTGAACCGATTTTAATATAATTTGGCAAATGTATATTTGTTTTAATTTCCGCTACACATTCCAAATTTCATTGAAATTAGAGATACATAGCGTGTTTGGTGCATCAAATACATGAAATCGGTCGAAAATATATATGGGAGCTATATCCAAATCTGAACCGATTTCAATTTAATTTGACAAATTCATTTTGGCTCCCAATTCCGTTACTTATTTTAAATTTCATTACAATTGGAAATACATGCCGTGTTTGGTCCACCAAATACATGAAATCGGCCGAAAATGTATATGGGAGCTATATCCAAATCTGAACCGATTTCAATATAATTTGGGAAATCAATTTTTTAGATAAAATCTATCAAACGTTTCAAATTTTATTGAAATTGGGGATACATAGCATGTTTGGTGCATCAAATGCTTGAAATCGGCCGAAAATATATATGGGAGCTATATCCAAATCTGAACCGATTTCAATATAATTTGACAAATTTATTTTCGGATTAAATCCCGTCACACATTCCAAATTTCATTGGAATCGAACATTCATATTGTGTTTGAGGCATCAAATGAACGAAATCGGTCGAAAATATATATGGGAGCTATATCCAAATCTGAACCGATTACAATATAATTAGGCAAACTTATTTTAGTTCCAAATTCCATTACGTATTCCAAATTTGGAGATTGTATCTTCAACCAATCAATAGATATGTGCATATAAAATCTAAATTTTTGGGAGGTACCTCCGATTCTGATGCTATATCTCCAGTTCCAAGTGGAAATTCAAAAATGTATATAGCCTATGTTACTTTCAGGCGATGTTGCAGTATATATGGAAATTTTCAGGAAAATCTATTCAGCGGTTTTCGAGTCCATAAATTACAAACAAACAAACATACAAACATTTCCCTCTTTTATAGATATAGAAGAAGATTGATCGGCGAAAAATTCTAAGACGATTTAGTCCTTCAACCTCCGGGAAAGAATTGTTTATATAGGTCCAAGACATCGTATAGCCCCCATATAACGGTACCCCCCCGCGATGTTCGGTATTTTGATTGAGTTTAGCGTCTGTTGTAATCACGCTTAAGTCAAAACGAATAAAGATAGAAATCTAAAATTTTGCAGAGATCAGTCTTTTGTGTGCAGGCAGGTCAAGTTCGAAGATGGGCTATTTCGCCGACGATATCGTTTAGCCTCCATATAACCTACCCCCCGATATTCGATATTTTGATGATTTTCGTCACATTTTTCGATGGAATTGTCTTAAAATCCACACAAGCAGTTTATTCCGAGTACTTTACCCTCTTGAAGAGAATTGTTTATTTAGGTCCAAGATATCGTATAACCCATATATAACGGTACCCCCCGATATTTGGTATTTTGATGATTTTAGCCACATTTTTCAATGGAATTGTCTGAAATTCCACAAAAGGAGTCCCTTGTGTACATTTTACCCCTTAAAAAAGAATTGTCTATATAGGTCCACGATATCGTATATCCCCCATATAACGGTACCCCCGATATTCGGTATTTTGATTATTTTACCCAAATTTTTCATCGGAATTGTCTGAAAATCCACACAAGGAGTTCCTTGTGGGTACTTTATACCTCGGCAGAGAATTATCTATATAGGTCCACAATATCGTATAGCCCCCATATAACGGTACTCCTCGGTATTCGGTATTTTGATGATTTTATCCACATTTTTCAATGGAATTGTCTGAAATTCCACAAAAGGAGTCCCTTGTGGACATTTTACCCCTTCAAAAAGAATTGTCTATATAGGTCTACGATATCGTATATCCCCCATATAACTGTACCCCCCGATATTCGGTATTTTGATGATGTTAGCCACATTTTTCATCGGAATTGTCTTAAAATCCACACAAGTAGTTCTTTGTGAGCACTTTACCCCTGAAACGGAATTGTCTATATAGGTCCACGATATCGTATAGCCCCCATATAACGGTACCCCCCGATATTTGGTATTTTGATGATTTTAGCCACATTTTTCAATGGAACTGTCTGAAAATCCACACAAGGAGTTTTTCTGGGTACTTTACCCTCCCGAAAAGAATTGTTTATATAGGTCCACGATATCGTATAGCCCCCATACAACGGTACCCCTTCGATTTTCGGTATTTTAATGAGTTAAGCCACAGTTTTCAATAGAATTGTCTTTAAATTCACACAAGGGGTTAATTCAGAGTACTTTATGCCCTAGAAGAGAATATGTTCCCTTTTTTGCATAGCGCCCATATAACGGATCCCCCAGATATTTCATGATTTTTGCTACATTGTTCACCGAAATTGTTTCAAATTTCGTATTTGAAGTTCAGAACTTACTTACTACCACATCTTCGAATAGTCTCCATATAACGGTTTTCATTAGAGCGATATTTTTCGACGGAATTTTTCTCGAAAATTTTCAAGTTTCTTCCAAATGGTGGAGGGTATAAAAAAAGTTCGGCCCGCCCGACATTTAGACTTTCTTTACTGTTTTTTTTTCTGATGACTGTAGCTATAAGATCTGTCTCAACTTAACGAAGACTGCGAGATATTTTCATTTTATCCTACACTGTTTCTTTCCAGGTTTTATCTCGTCATATTTCTTTATGTCAACATTTCTCTCCATGAACGTGATTGGTTTTGAAATATGGATTACCTTTAAAAAGGTTCGTGTTGAAAATAATCCCCATAACGATAAGAAACGTTACCTGATCTATGCCATATATGTTTGGACTGTACCAATTGTGTTTTATCTACTGTATTATTTGACACTGAGTAAGTTATTGCAGATTTACAAATATTACAAAAATACAGAAGAGCATAATTATTAAACAGGTAGCTTTTGGTCGTCGGGCCCCGTTGCCCTGATTCTGTTGCAGAATTTTATTACATTTATCTTCCTAACCTACAAAATATGTGCAACGCGTTATAAGGCGGCAACTATGAGAAAAGATGCAAATCTTGTAACGGAAACGTAAGACAAAACCTCTATCAATATTTTTTCCCACTTTATTGATTATATGTTCATTGGCTTTTAGCATCAAAATAATTTTGAGTCTATTCTTTATGATGGGCATACCGCGCTCATTGTTCGTTGTATTGTTATATCTGAATAACCTGGCGTACTTCATGATTTCCAAATATATATTTCTGTCCATCGAAGCTCCGCTGATTTTCAAATTATTTGTGTTGAAGAAGAATGTTTGGAATATGTTAAAGAATAGGTAGAGTATTCAGTGAAAACACTTCAGTTTCGAAAGCAAATTAAATTTACTTAGTTTTTTACAGATTTTGGCACAAATATGTACATCCCAGCACAACAACGGATGATGGATCCTCGATGCCATGACTTTAACAATTATAAAAATGTTTTTAATATTATTATCGTTAGAGAGTGTATTGTGTTCAATATTTATAGGAAAGTGTATCCAGAAGACTGCAGACCTTTAGTTTTTATTTAGTATTGATCTTAAATTATCCGACAAATTTACGAATTGGTTAAGTATTTTTAACGGTAAATAAACCAATTTTGCTAGTAAACTTATTTAGAATAGCTAACTATACCCTTTTTTTCGTCGGATTGACAGGTGAATAATTTTGTTGAAGAGTAAACTAAGTATTTTGGCCAAAAGTATTAACCCTCAAGCGAGCCACAGAATGCATCTTTTGGCCGTTTTTATACCCGCAGCCATATGGATAGAGGGGGAATATATATATATATATATATATATATATATATATATATATATATATATATATATATATATATATTTGATACGGACAAAACGTGCCGAAATACTGGTTTTAGACCCTAGTTTTGAATAACCAAAACGATTATAAAATCCGAAATAAGCATCCGATTCTCTTCATATCTCACACATTACATTATTTCTACTAACACAAGATCTGTATCAGTCAACTCCTACTGGCAACTCCCTCACAAAGGGTCAAAATTTTAAATATCCATAAAGCTCACAAAATGCGAAATTAGCATTCGATTCCATTCGGACCTGGTACATCACAATATTTCCATTAACACAAGATCTGTTATAGGGATGGTAGAGATCGGACCGATGAGAAAACATTCGTTGTCCAGCTGTTTGTAAACAAACAAAATGATCGTGTTTACTTGCCAAAGAGATCAGCCGAATATGTGCACCTTCGGTTGCCCACCAGAACTCAAGCGCCGGCCATGGTGAAGGTGTGGGCCGCCATAACAGCCGATGGTCGGTCTCTGCTCGTATTAATCGACCGCGGCATCAGAAGAAGTGCCGAATATTATAGCGAAAATATTCTGGAGGGTGCATTAAAGCCTTGGGCACGCAAACATTTTGGCCGAATACCTTGGACATTCCAACAGGACTCAACATCGTCGCACTACGCAAGCGCCACCCAAGAATGGTTACAAACTGAGGTTCCTCGCTTCATTTCCAGCACACAATGGCCACCAAAATCTCCGGATACCAATCCGTTGGACTATTGTGTCTGAACTATATTGGAAAGCAAGGTTGGCACTAGAAAATACCAAAGAGTGGATCACCTCAAGCAAGCGCTTCGCCGGAAATGGGCCAAAATACCGCAGAGCAACATTCGGGCAGCGTGTGACGGTATCATTGGCCGTTTGAAGGCCATAATTCGTGCCAAAGGTAACCAATTCGAACAAATCTAAACTTATTCTAAAATTTGATGGTATTTCCGACATTTTTTTTTTTGGTTTCATTCAATAAAATTAAAAAAAAGACAATGTAAAAACCAGTAAAGAAAGCCTTAAAGTCGGGCGGGGCCGACTTTATGATACCCTACACCACTTTGCTAATTAAGTAGAGCTCCACATAACAATTAAAAGTTTTTATGGGAGAATTCAATCATACACGCTATGATTATAATTATAATTTAAAGTTCAAAGGACTAAATATGCCGAAGCATTTGTATCTTTTAAATTCGGAATTGTATTGCCCATTTGGTGCACAATTAATTTGAAATCGGATAAAGATATATATGGGAGCTATATCCAAATCTGAACCGATCTCGATAAAATTTGGCAAAAATATTTCTGAGCTTTATTTGATATATTTCCCTGAATATCGTTGTTACGGAGTGCATATTACGGTTGTGGGTAATAACTATAACAAATCGGATGAATAATATATATGAAAACTATAGCTATATCTGAACCGATCTTCACCAAATTTGACATACTAGCTTCTAGACTGAATTCGGTCGTAAGTGCCAAATTCCATCCCATTTGGACAAATATTAGACGTTTGATGCACAATCAAAGGTAAATCCGACGAAGTTTTATATGGGAGCTATATCCAAATCTGAACCGATCTCGATAAAATTTAGCAAATGTATTTCTGAGCTGTATTTGATATATTTCCCCAAATATTGTTGTTGCATAGTGCAAATTACAGCGGCGGTGGACAGAAATAACAAATCGGATGAACAATATTTATGGGAGCTATAGCTATATCTGTACCGATTTCGATCAAATTTGGCATACATATTTTCAGGCCTAATTTGGGTGTATATGCAAAATTCCATACAATTCGTGCTGATATTACACGTTTGGTGCACAATAAAAGCAAATCGGACGAAGATATATATGGGAGCTATATCTAAATTTTGACCGATTCTCACCAATTTCAATAGGGTTCGTCCTTGGGCCAAACAACTGTTTTGTGCAAAATTTCATCTATCGAGCAATAAATGCGACCTGTACTTTGTTTACAAAAATACATGGACAGACGGACAGACGCATGGACGGACGGACAGACGGACATGCATAAATCGACTCAGAATGTGATTCTATGCAGATAATCAAAAGGAACTATGGGTCTATCTCGTTTCCTTCTGTCTGTTACAAACAAATGCACAAAGACATAATACCCTGACTACCTTGTGGTGTAGGGTATAATTATGGCGTTCGACTTTGTTGGAGCTTTTTATCTCACCCTGTACATAAATTGTAGTATTTGCATCACGTTTAAATCATGTAGGAAAATGAGTGTTATCGATGCACTGTTTTTCGTACCTTTCACACAAAATGTCAAAACGTTGTAAAAACTGCCCACCCCATAAACTACCTCATTCCTATTACTGACGATCAGTATCTGCTTTATAGATTTGACAATTTGAACCCGACAAGTTCGTTACTACCAAGTCGTAAAACATCAATCCGACGAAATCAGTCCGAATACAAAGAGCCCAGCACCCCCGAATAACATTGAACTGGCTATCATCAAGTCAACTAAATCAACCCGAATATAATTGAGCCGACAACAATCAACCGAATAAAATCATTCCAATTCCTTTAAACCGAATACGAATGTGACCAGTGGACTATATCAGTCCGAATACATTATGTCGACAACAGCCTAAATTAAATTTACCTAAATCTAGCGGCGTGAATTCAGAGTGATAATATTTTCTGCTAAACAAATTGTGACGCATTTTTTCTTTAACTCTAAATTTTGTTGTGACTCACCCTAATATTTGTATTTGTTGTAAGTGAGTGTATAGCTCACGTTTTGGTTTTTGTTTTGCTTTTTCAGTTTGTAGATAAAAACTACACAAAAGCAGAGACGCTCACACACACACGCACAGACCTCTATGTCCAAATATAAACATAATAATATAATCCACTTTTGGTTGAGGTTGACAGCAGCAGCTCCGTTGGTTATCGTTTTGCTACAAAAATATCAGTTTTTTTTTTGTCCAAATCCAAAATGTTAGTCTAAACAAAACAGTGTCAAAGTGAGGAACTCAAGACATAGCTCCAACCGTTTCTCACATCAAGTGAAATCAAATGAAACGCGTTAACGCGTAACGAAAAAAATATTAAAAAAAAATAAATACAATACTGATTATCAAGCTGTAGCTGTAGAAAACAAAATGTGTAGTCTTACAGCTTTGCCGTGGCTTTCATTTCCTCTCTTCTTAGTTTGTCATTTCAAGGCAACACAAGCGAGTGAATTACACGTTTCTGTTGAAAACGCCGGGGAGCGTCTCTCGATACGTTTATGTTGTCCGCTCAATGCTCTGTACAATGAATCGACGCATCAGTGTCAAACGATAGCGGATGGCATTCCGCTAACCGTCTGGGAGGTATCAAACTTTTGGTCGGATGGCAACGAGACCAAAGTGAATCTCTTACACGATCTCAGCTTTGGCGTGGAAATGGTGCAGTGTAGCACACCGTTTTACTTTAAATTTTTCGAATATAGCGTAAGTAAAACGTAAAACAACAACGACCACAACCAAAAACCCATTCAAATACGAGCAAGTATAAATTACACTATGCTACAACAAATGTGTTACTTTAAAAATAAGTTAAAAACCAGTAAAGAAAGTCCTAAAGTCGGGCGGGGCCGATTTTATGATACCCTACACCACTTTGCTAATTTAGTTGAGCTCCACTTAATAATTAAAAGTTTTTATGGGAGAATTCAATCATACACGCTATGATTATAATTATAATTTAAAATTCAAAGGACTAAATATGCCGAAGCATTTGTATCTTTTACATTCGGACTTGTATTGCCCATTTGGTGCGAAATTAATTTGAAATCGGATAAAAATATATATGGGAACTATATCCAAATCTGAACCGATCTCGATAAAATTTGGCAAAGATATTTCTGAGCTTTATTTCATATATTTCCCTGAATATCGTTGTTACGGAGTGCATATTACGGCTGTGGGTAACAAATACAATAAATCGGATGAACAATATATATGGGAGCTATAACTATATTTGAACCGATCTTCACCAAATTTGGCATACTACCTTCTAGACTAAATTCGGTCGTATGTGCCAAATTCCATCCCATTCGGACAAATATTAGACGTTTGGTGCACAATAAATGGTAAATCGGACGAAGTTATATATAGAAGCTATATCCAAATCTGAACCGATCTCGATAAAATTTAGCAAAGATATTTCTGAGCTGCATTTGATATATTTCCCCAAATTTTGTTGTTACAGAGTGCATATTACGGCTGCGGAGGACAAAAATAACAAATCGGATGAACAATATGTATGGGAGCTATAGCTATATCTGAACCGATTTCGATAAAATTTGGCATACTTATTTTCAGGCCTAATTTGGTTGTATGTGCAAAATTCCATACTATTCGGGCTGATATTACAATAAAAGGCAAATCGGACGAAGATATATATGGAAGCTATATCTAAATTTTTACCGATTATCTCCAATTTCAATAGGGTTCAACCTTGGGCCAAACAAATGTTGTTTGGAAAATTTCATCTCAATCGGATAATAAATGCGACCTGCATTTTGTTCACAAGAATACATGGACAGACGGACGGACAGACGGACTGACATGCATAAATCAACTCAGAAAGTGATTCTATGCAGATCATCAAAAGGAACTATGGGTCTATCTCGTTTCCTTTTGCCTGTTACAAACAAATGCACAAAGACATAATACCCTGACCACCTTGTGGTGTAGGGTATAACAAGTAAGCAAAGGCTACAGTCGAGCGGGCCGACCGTTGAATACCCTACAACACTATAATAAACCGTACAGTTTATATAGGCGAGATACTCGAAAGAATTCCACAAGATATTGTGACGAATAATAAAAGAAAACAATCAGGTTTCGTTCTCTAATTTTCGAATAATAGGAACTTAAACTAATTTGCTCATTTCCAATTTATTGGTAGATATTGCACGTAAATGGTCTTCCTAGATCTGGAAACAATATTTCCCAAAGACCTATTATCTCTCAGAAGTGGCAAAAGATTAACAATTACTATTGGTTTTTGACTGAAACGCATCTATATGAGATACAGACATTTGACTATATTCTTCAACGAAATCAACCTTAACGAAATAGTCAGAAGTGCGTCTTTCCTGTATTTGTGAATTCTCCAAAAAGTCACTGGAATTGACATTTTCGTATTTTGTCTACAAAAGTTGGTAAACTATTTCACACATTGAATATTTTTGGATGGCTTTTGCAATGTGCGGTAACCCCCATTCAAATGTGCGTGAGGATCGGGCGATAATTACGACCTGCTGACAATTTTGCAGTTTTTTTTTTGTTCATTTCAACCCCTAAATATATGGCGATTATCTCCAAAAAGAGTAGGCTTCTATTCTGACACTCATCTTATCACCATGCAAAATTTCATAAGGATCGGGCCATAAATGCGATCTGTATATGATATCCTGATATCCAAACTACTTAGTTTTGTTAGCTGTAGAAATATTACCAAATGTTTAATTCAAAATGAAAATATGCCAAAAATATGACAAAATGGAAAAAATATGAGAAAATGTTACAAAATCAATTTTTTCATCTTTAGAGAGATATTTTTATGCGATTTTTTAGACGTTTTTTCTTTCCTGCCAAGAGGCCATTCTGAATTAATGAGAACTGTCGAAATTCAGCTGTTCTCGACATATAAGCATATCTTCTTTGATAGACATATGTATCGCACATATTTTGCTATATATCCGATTTGTTGGATGTTAACATCAATGTAAAGGTCAGAAGTAACCTTGTCATGGCTTTGTGATTTCGACGGGATTTAAAATATTCGCGTTTTAATGAAAAATTTTGAATTTTTTCATCACAAAAGATATGGTCTATTTTACCCGCTAAATATTATCCGATGACCACCCAAATTGGTAGGCTCCTTCCCCGCCCTTAACTCTAGCTACATGCGAAATTCCGCATCGATTGGTCTATAATATCTACTGGAAAATCCAACATTTTTTCAGTATTTGGTCCATTTCAACCCCTAAATATTATGCGATCATCTCCAAAAGAAATAGGCTTCTATTCTGACCCTAACCCCACCTTCGTGCAAAATTTCGTAAGGATCGGGCCATAATATCGACCTGTAGCGTGATTACAAATTAACATGGACAGACGGACAGACGTACGGACGGACATGCATAGCTAAATCGACTCAGCTCGGCGAGCTAGGAAGATCCATACATACTTTCCTGTGTAGGAAACCAATATTTCGAGGTGTTACATAAATTCTGGCCCAATCAAACTTATAATACCCCCAACACATAGTGTTGTAGGGTATAAATATAAGTCGGTTTTGCCGACCGATGTATACCCTCAACCAATATTCGATTATTTAAATATATTTTGACTTCTGTTACGATTATTCTAATTGAAGATCCTATATGGAGTAGGTTCCGAAGGAATGGGATAAATATGATATAAATATTGCGACGTGCTAGATTTGGACTATATTGGTTACCTTCTTTACTTTATATGAGATATGTGATAATTTTTAGAAAAACCAGATATAGTCGACCGAAGTATGCCATCTTCATTTCTAATACAGATTACAATATTGGAATGGGCAAAATTATAAGAAAATCGAATCTTTATTTCCAATTTTATGCGAAATCATAATTTCCATATTCATTTCAGGTTTTTGGTTGAGAGAAATATTTAGATATATCAATTTGTAAGGAATTGTTTCGCAAGATATAAGTATTGCAAATTGTTACCCTTTGTAGGTGAGGTACCAGAAGGGGTTCACAGATTCACAACAGATCTTGTGTTAGCCAAAATGTTTGTATGAGTGAATTTTGAAGGGAGTTGGATGTTTATTTCTCTTTCTTTCAGCCTTTTGTATTTCAAATCTTGTACACTATTTGGGGAGGAACCAGAAGAAATGATCCGATCTCTACCATCTCTATAAGAGATCTTTTTTTGATGGAAATATTGAGATGTACCAAATCTGAATGGAATAGGATGTTGATTTCGCGTTTTTTGAGCTTCATGGATATTCAAAATTTTGACCCTTTCTGGGGGATGTATTAGAAAGAGTGGACCGATATACCCCATCTTGACATCAGATTTAGTAACAGTAGAAATAATGGAATGTGTGAAATATGAAGAGAACCAGATGCTTATTCCGGATTTTATAATCGTTTTGGTTATTCAAAACTTTTACTCTTTGTAAGGGAGATACCAAAAGCATTGATCCCATATCATCATCTTTTTTCTTTCTGTGTAGTAATTTTTTTTCTCAAAATTTTGACCTTTTGTGGGGGAGGTATGGACCGATATTGCGTATCTCCGAACTCGATCTAAGTGTGATAATAATATTATGATGTACAAAGTTTGGACCAAATCGAATACTCCTTTGAGAGTTATCGCGCGCACCAGCCAGACAGAGGGACGGACATCGCTAAATCGACTCCAAATGTCCTGAAACGGATTTGTCAAAAGAGACCTAGGGTTTAAAACCGTTATTTCAATGAGGCACGTTTTGGCCGTATAATAACGGTTTTAGACCCTAGTTCTCTTTGGACATTTGGAGTCGATCTAGCGATGTCCGTCCGTCCTTCTGGTACCTCCCCCACAAAATGTCAACATTTTCAATGAAAATAATTTACAGCACAGAAAGAGATAGGATAATCTGATTTTGCTCCATCCTAATATTTGAATTAGTGCTAGGTCATGTGCGAAAATGGATAATATCCGCCCACTCCATCCAGTACCTCCCCCACAAAGGATAAACATTGTGATTAATTATAACTGTAAAATAAATAATAAAATGTGATGTAAGTGTCCGATTATGTTCAAATTACACACGTCACAATATTTTTATTAAAACAAGGTCTGGTGTGAAGATGGAATATATCGGCTCACTCATTATGGTACCTCCTCCACAAAGGGTTAAAATTTTGAATAAATCATAAAACGCCAACTTAACATCCAATTCCATTCAGTCTTGGCACATCTCAGTAGTTCCATCAACACAAGATCTGTTATAAAGATGTTAAATATCGGTCCATTCCTTTTGGTACCTCCCCCACAAAGGGTGAAAGTTTCGAATGACCAAAACGATAATAAAATCCGAAATAAGCAGCCGGTTCTCTTCAAATTAAACACATCATAATATTTTTATTAACCCAAGGTCTGATGTGAAGATGGGATACATTGGGTCACTTTGTATTATGTCTAGGATGGTTGGTATTGAAAATGAGATATATCGGTTCACGTTTTGGTATAGCCGCCATATAACGGTACCTCCCGATATTCGGTATTTTGATGATTTTAGCGACATTATTTACCGGAGTTGTTTCAAATTTTGTATTTGAAGTTCGTAACGGATACTACAGCCTGTGACAGAAAAGTGTCAGTGCGGGTTAACGTCTTCGTATAGCTCTCATGCAACGGATCCTCCCGATATTCCGTATTTCGATGTTTTTAGCGACGTTATTCACCGGAATTGTTTAAAATTTGGTATTTGAAGTTCGTAACGGATACTACAGCCTGTGAAAGAAAATTTTGAGTGCAGATCCACGTCTTCGTATAGCCCTCATACAACGGTACCTCCCGATATTCGGTATTTTGATGATTTTAGCGACATTGTTTACCGGAGTTGTTTCAAATTTTGTATTTGAAGTTCGTAACGGATACTACAGCCTATGACAGAAAATTGTCTGTGCGGGTTAACGTCTTCGTATAGCTCTAATGCAACGGAACCTCCCGATATTCGGTATTTCGATGTTTTTAGCGACATTATTCACCGGAATTCTTTCAAATTTGGTATTTGAAGTTCGTAACGGATACTACAGCCTGTGAAAGAAAATTGTGAGTGCAGATCCACGTCTTCGTATGGCTCTCATGCAACGGAACCTGCCGATATTCCGTATTTCGATGTTTTTAGCGACATTGTTTACCGGAGTTGTTTCAAATTTTGTATTTGAAGTTCGTAACGGATACTACAGCCTGTGAAAGAAAATTGTGAGTGCATATCCACGTTTTCGTATAGCCCTCATACAACGGTACCTCCCGATATTCCGTATTTCGATGTTTTTAGCGACATTATTCACCGGAATTGTTTAAAATTTGGTATTTGAAGTTCGTAGCGGATACTACAGCCTGTGAAAGAAAATTTTGAGTGCAGATCCACGTCTTCGTATAGCTCTCATGCAACGGAACCTCCCGATATTCGGTATTTTTATGATTTTAGCGACATTGTTTACCGGAGTTGTTTCAAATTTTGTATTTGGAGTTCGTAACGGATACTACAGCCTGTGACAGAAAATTGTCAGTGCGGGTTAACGTCTTCGTATAGCTCTCATACATTAGAACCTCCCGATATTCGGTATTTTGATGATTTAAGCGACACTATTTACCGGAGTTGTTTCAAATTTTGTATTTGAAGTTCGTAACGAATACTATAGTCTAAGACAGAAAATTATCTGTGCAGATCCACATATCTGTATAGTCCTCATACAACGGTACCTTCCTATAACGACATTATTCACCGTTTTTTTTTCAAGTTTCGCATTTCGTCGTATTTTTAACGGTTTTTATTTTTGAAAATTGCCAAATTCGTTCCTAATGGTGGAGGGTATTCAAGGTTCGGCCTGGCCGATCTTACAGCTTTTTTACTTGTTTTTCTATGGTTTTAAGGCCCTCAAATTTTGAAATGAGTGCATTCGGAGTTAATTCCAAATATTTCATTTCTTTTTTACGTCCTCGTAATTATAAATATTAATACCCACCCTTCTCTTTTGTACGTTTTGTTTTAGAATGACTCGGAACATTGTTACACACCGTATTACCACAAGGAACTTGAGAAATACATCGTTGCCACTGTGGATTGTGATCTGGTTGACGAGTACTACAATTTCATTTTTGATTCGTATATTTATGGTGAGATGGACTTTGAAAAAAAAAAATCGACACTAAATTCATACCACTTTTTTAGGCATTGGATTTTCAACAATTGTTTTGATATTGACATTTTTAATCCATGCCTTCAGCAAATATGAGCAACATATAACTAGTCCAAAGGCAGCCGTCTGCTATTTGGTGGCATGGATCCTGGCGCATACATTGGCAATGTTAGCTCTGCGTTTCAGATGCACTGAAATGGGTAGGATTTCTACATGGCATTGGTTAATATTTAGAAATTTCTGTGTTGACATTTCTTTTATTTTTTGCAGTTTGCTATGTTTGGTTTTTCTTCATTGTGACACGTTGGTGCTTGCTTTACCATGGCTTGACGACGTTGTCTACTAACTTCAGTTTCAGTAGCGCCAGATTTTTAATTATTGGTGGCGCTGTTGTCACTGGATTGTCATCGTGGATCCTAAGCGGTATTTTTCGTTGGAAGTTATATCAAACTTGTGATTTTCCATAAAAAGGTATATATTTTCCAATTATAGATCGATTTCCCTTGGACACTTGGCCCTCACGTATGGTTATTGTGCTTGTGCTAGCAATAGCTTGTTGCATCTTTGCACATAGCCTCTATCAACTTCGCGGGCATATGAAAGTCCTGTGCAAAAGGTAAGATGGAAATTTAATTTCAAATGTGAATTGTTTAAGGCAAGGCAAAATTTTTTTATTTTATTTTTCATAGTTTCTTTAAATCCTTCTACTTAATAATTTTACCCTGGATTATGCTACTGCTGTGGCCAGTTCATTATAGGAATATCCCTCTAACTGTGACATTCTATATTTATTTGATTATGGAGGGTCCACTTATCTTTTGGTTCTTTGATGGATATGACAAATTATGCGGTAAACAGAGCAGGTGAGTTGGATACAAATGACTTATATTTTTTTACCATTATTAATTTAATAAAATTTCTTTACCAAAATTGCAGTCAAAGCTCGCCCGATGCACATCCTGTTGAAGGATATTGTACGACACAGGAAGAGTTGTATAGCCAGGGCTCTACCATATAAACTAAATAAAATATATAGCATGAAAGAAATCTCAATACACAACCGAAGTGTAAACATCTCGACAATTGAATATTCTAGTTAGATTACGAAAGTAAACTGCCAATTTAAATTAAAATATGAATCTCCTAAAACTGTGTTTTAATAAAAACCAACAAGGAAAGGACAAAAGTCGGGGCGGGACCGATAGTATGGTAGTCTACGCCTCTATTTATATTTATAACAAGTAAGCAAAGGCTACAGTCGAGCGGAGCCGACCGTTGAATACCCTACAACACTATAATAAACGATACATTTTATATAGGCGGTATACTCGAAAGAATTCCACAAGATATTGTGACAAATAATAAAAGAAAACCATCAGGTTTCGTTCTCTAATTTTCGAATAATAGCAACTTAAACTAATTTGCTCATTTCCAATTTATTGGTAGATGTTGCACATAAATGGTCTTCCTAGATCTGGAACCAATATTTCCCAAAGACCTATAATCTCTCAGAAGTGGCAAAAGATAAGCATTTATTATTGGTTTTTGACTGAAACGCATCTATATGAGGTAACCCCCATTCAAATGTGCGTGAGGATCGGGCAATAATTACGACCTGCTGACAATTTTGCAGTTTTTTTTGGTCCATTTCAACCCCTAAATATATGGCGATCATCTCCAAAAAGAGAAGGCTTCTATTCTGACCCTCATCTTATCCCCATGCAAAATTTCGTGGGGATCGGGCCATAAATGCGATCTGTATATGATATCCTGATATCCTAACTACTTAGTTTTGTTAGCTGTAGAAATATTACCAAATGTTTAATTCAAAATGAAAATATGCCAAAAATATGACAAAATGGAAAAAATATGAGAAAATGTTACAAAATCAATATTTTCATCTTTAGAGAGATATTTGTATGCGATTTTTTAGACGTTGTTTCTTTCCTGCCAAGAGGCAGTCGAAATCAGTTCAGCCGTTCTCGACATATAAGAGATCTTTCAAGCATATATTCTTTGATAGACATAAATATCGCACATAGTTTGCTATATGTCCGTTTTGTTGAATCTTAACATCAATGTAAAGATCAGAAGTAACCTTGTCATGGCTTTGTGATTTCGCCGGGATTTAAAATATTCGCGGTTCAATGAAAAATTTTGAATTTTTTCAACACAAAAGATATGGTCTATTTTACCCGCTAAATATTATCCGATGACCACCCAAATTGGTAGGCTTCTTCCCCGCCCTAAACTCTAGCTACATGCGAAGTTCCGCGTCGATTGGTCTATAATTGCGACCTGTATAGCTACTGCAAAATCCGACATTTTTTCAGTTTTTGGTCCATTTCGACCCCGAAATATTATGCGTTCATCTCCAAAAGAAATAGGGTTCTATTCTGACCCTAGCCCCACCTCCATTCTAAATTTCGTGAAGATTGGGCCATAATTGCGACCTGTAGAGTGATTACAAATTAACATGGACAGACGGACAGACGGACGGACGGACATACATAGCTAGATCGACTCAGCTCGGCGAAATAGGAAGATCCATATATACTTTCCTATGTGGGAAACCAATATTTCGAGGTGTTACATAATTGTTGGCCCAATCAAACTTATAATACCCCCAACACATAGAGTTGTAGGGTATAAAAAAAAAACAAGTAAGCAAAGGCTACAGTCGAGCGGGGCCGACCGTTGAATACCCTACAACACTATAATAAATGATACAGTTTATATAGGCGAGATACTCGAAAGAATTCCACAAGATATTGTGCCAAATAATAAAGAAAACCATCAGGTTTCGTTCTCTAATTTTCGAATTATAGCAACTTAAACTAATTTGCTCATTTCCAATTTGGCGTTTGCAATGTCCGGTAACCCCCATTCAAATGTGCGTGAGGATCGGTTGATAATTACGACCTGCTGACAATTTTGCAGTTTTTTGGTCCATTTCAACCCCTAAATTTATGGCGATCATCTCCAAAAAGAGTAGGCTTCTATTCTGACCCTCATCTTATCCCCATGCAAAATTTCGTAAGGATCGGGCCATAAATGCGATCTGTATATGATATCCTGATATCCTAACTACTTAGTTTTGTTAGCTGTAGAAATATTACCAAATGTTTAATTCAAAATGAAAATATGCCAAAAATATGACAAAATTGAAAAAATATGAGAAAATTTTAAAAAATCAATATTTTCATCTTCATAGAGATATTTTTATGCGATTTTTTTAGAGGTTTTTTCTTTCCTGCCAAGAGGCCATTCTGAATTAATGAGAACGGTCGAAATCAGTTCAGCCGTTCTCGACATATAAGAGATCTTTCAAGCATATCTTCTTTGATATACATATATATCGCACATATTTCGCTATATATCCGATTTGTTGGATGTTAACATCAATGTAAAGGTCAGAAGTAACCTTGTCATGGCTTTGTGATTTCGCCGGTTTTTAAAATATTCGCGGTTTAATGAAAAATTTTGAATTTTTTCAACACAAAAGATATGGTCTATTTTACCCGCTAAATATTATCCGATGACCACCCAAATTGGTAGGCATCTTCCCCGCCCTAAACTCTAGCTACATGCGAAATTCCGCGTTGATTGGTCTATAATTGCGACCTGTATAGCTACTGCAAAATCCGACATTTTTTCAGTATTTGGTCCATTTTAACCCCTAAACATTTGGCGATCATCTCCAAAAGAAATAGGGTTCTATTCTGACCCTAGCCCCACCTCCATTCTAAATTTCGTGAAGATCGGGCCATAATTGCGACCTGTAGAGTGATTACAAATTAACATGGACAGACGGACAGACGGACAGACGGACAGACGGACGGACGGACATACATAGCTAGATCGACTCAGCTCTGCGAGCTAGGAAGATCCATATATACTTTCCTATGTGGGAAATCAATATTTCGTGGTGTTACATAATTTTTGGCCCAATCAAACTTATAATACCCCCAACACATAGTGTTGTAGGGTATAAAAATAATAATAATAATAATAATAATAATAATAATAATAATAATAAAATCCGTTGAAAATTCTGTTAAAGTCTTAAAAATACCGAATGCTTTTACGACGACGTAGACCTGCATAGGCAACTTTTGTCATAAGTTATTACAATATTTAAATGCGAAACTTGAAGAAAAATCTGTTTATAATGTAGCTAAAATCATCAAAATACCGAATATAGGGTGTACCGTTATATGGGGGCTATATAAAGACGTGGACCTGCACAGACAATTATCTGGCATGGGCTGAAGTATCCATTACGAACTTCACATGTGAAATTTGAAACAATACCGGTAAATAAAGTCACTAAAATCATCAAAATACCGAATATCGGGGGTACCGTTATATGGGGGCTATACGAAGACGTGGACGTTCATGGCTCATTTTCTGTATTATGCTGCAGTATCTATTACGAACTTCAAATGCCAAATTTGAAACAATTCCGTTGCATAATGCTGCTAAAATCATCAAAATACCGAATATCGGGGGGTATGGTATGTGGGGGCTATACGAAGACGTGAACCTACTTGGCTCATTTTTTGACTTAGGATGTAGTATCTATTACGAACTTCAAATGCCAAATTTGAAACAATTCCGTTGAATAATGCTACTGAAATCATCAAAATACCGAATATCGGGAGGTACCGTTATATGGGGGCTATATGATAACTTAGACCTACATGACCCATTTACGAACTTAACCTGCCTACTTGCATAATATACATGTGTGCAAAATTTTAGCCTTCTATCTCAATTTGTTCGAAAGATAGCGTGATTACAACAGACAGACGGACAGACAGACAGACAGACAGACGGACAGACAGACAGACGGACATGGCTAAATCGTCTTAGAATTTTACGCTGATCAAGAATATATATACTTTGTTGGGTCTGACATGAGTATTTCGAGGAGTTACAAACGGAATGACAAAATTAATGTACCCTCCATAGTATGGTGGAGGGTATAAAAAACAGCAACAAAGTCAAACGCCATAGATTTTACATTTTTATACCCTACTAGCTGAACCCGGTGCGCTTCGCTACCCCTTTTGATTTTATATGCATTCAAAATTTTAATTACAAATATATGTTGGTTAAAAAAAAAACAAATTTAAAAATTAAAAAAAAATTATTGCACTACTTTAATGCGTAAATAAACAAAACCAGTAACATGACATGCATACACGAAGGGTTTGTCCTTTGGATTTATTTATTTCATAGCAAATACCAAGCGTGCAGGAAACTGCAATTTTTTTAAGTAGAGTGGCATTTCTATTGCAATTAGTGAATTCGAGATAGCAACATACTTCGCCGTAATAAGCGTATTTCAAATCAATTGTTTTGTTGTTTTTTAGTGTTAGCCTAAGGCGTTGTGGGTCAATGGTTCTTATTAAAATCATATCCCAAACTGATCCGATTTAAATATAATTTTAAAAAAATACTTTTACACCAAACTCCGCCACACCTTTCATATTTCATTGAAATTGGTGCGTCAAATATGTGAAATCGGCCGAGAATATATATATGCGAGCTATATCCAAATCTTAACTAATTTCCAATTAATTTATCACATTTATTATTATAACCAAATTCCGCCACACATTCTGAATTTCATTGGAATCGGTCATATATATCGTGTTTGGTGCATAATATATATGAAATCGGCCGAAATATATATGTTCGCTATATCCAAACCTCAACTGATTTCAATATAATTTGGCAATTTTTGCTGGTGCCAGATTTTGTCTCTCTCGCTTTGGGTGCATCATATATGTGAAATCGGCTGAGTATATATATGGGAGCTATAATCACATCTGAGCGTATTTGAATATAATTTGTCAAATTTATTTTTGTACCAAATTTAGCCACTCATGCCGAATTTCGTTGGAATCGGAAATACGTATCGTGTTTTGTGCATCAAATATGTGAAATCGGCGGAAAATATATATGGGAGCTATATCCAAATCTGAACCGATTTCAATATAATTTGACTAATTTATTTTCTAATCAAAATCCCGTTACATATTCCAAATTTCTTTGGAATCGAACATACATATCGTGTATGGTGCATAAAATACATGAAATCGGTCGAAAATATATATGAGAGCTATATCCAAATC